GCCCAGCCGCTCCGCGGCATGTGGGATCCTCCCGGACCGGGGCACGACCCCGTGTCCCCTGCATCGGCAGGTGGACTCTCAACCACTGCACCACCAGGGAAGCGCTAGGAATTTTTTTAATTCCCTTCAAAAGTCTTTCTCCGATGCAGGGGACACGGGTTCGTGCCCTGGTCCGGGAAGATGCCACATGCCGCAGAGCGGCTGGGCCCGTGAGCCATGGCCGCTGAGCCTGAGCATCAGGAGCCTGTGCTCCACAACGGGAGAGGCCACAACAGTGAGAGGTCTGCGTACCGCAAAAAAAAAAAAAAAAAACTTTCTCCGTTTTCCTTCCTTTTTTTCCCCCTCTCCTCTTACTCTGGGCTTCAGAGATATGTGCCCTGATATCCCTCCACCTCGCCGCCCCCCCCCCCCCCCCCCACATAGTCATTCAGTCACTCACATACATTTCTTCCCTTATGCCTTCCCCTGAGTTTAGACTTCTACCTGCCGTATTTCTGCCTTCATATAAAATTTGCAACCAACAGAGAGCTTTGGGTTACCTCAAGTGGATGGAGGTTTATTTTAAAGATAAAGCTCTTGCAGTCTAGCACATAGTCTAGTATGAAACATATGTTATTTGGGTAGAGCTCCTCTAGTTTAGTTATAAGTATCAGTAAGAGAAAATAGCGACAAAAGTTTTTTTCTGAATTTCTAAAAAACAAATATAAGTGAATAAAATTCTCACATGGTTAGGAAATTCAAATCATTTATCATTCATTTACTACACTCAGTGAGTATAAGGAGGGGAGAAAATTTTAATTCAAACAAATAAGCAGTGGAAACCTAATAATTTTGCAGAGATTTGGTACTTTATTACCAAGGACTATAGCAGCATTGTCCAATAGAATATAGAAAGAATGCAAGTCACACAAGTAACTTTAAATTATCTAGTAAACATGTTTAAAATGACAAAAAGAAATTGGTGAAATTAATTTTGATTATATATTTTATTTATTCCATTATATCAAAATGTTCGCATGTAACAGAAAAAAAAAACTACTAACAAAATAGTGTACATTCTTTTCTCATAGAATGTCTTAGAAATATGATGTGTATTTTACACTTACAGCACATTTCAATTCAGATTTGCCACACTTTAAGAACTCAGCAGTCACACATGGCTAGTGGCTACCATGTTGAACAGATAGGGCTAGAGTCTTAAGTTAATAAATGACCATCCTACAATTAACCAACAAACTGGAACCCTAATTCACCACAAAATATTTCTTGGTAATGCCAAATATTGCTGTTGCTCACTTCCTCATGTCCCTGATTCCAGCTCCTTCTCCCTTTCTCATCTGACCCTGTTCACTCTGCAAATGATCCTGTTCTAGGAACATCTATCAGGACCTGTGTCCTCAGAAATTATCCCAAAGCCTTTAGGGGCAAGAAAGGGAAAAAAATCTATATAGGTATATAGATAGATATATTGGAATGGGGAGAGAAGAGAGAGGATAAGCAAAGACTAAAGAAATATTAAAGAGGAAAAGAGAGAAAAATGGAAGGTTTGGAAAAGCCAGAAGGACAGCAGATTTAAAAAGGAAAAATCAAAGAGCTGGGAGAAAGAATGGAGGACAAGAAAATGGAGGAAATGAGGATGGAAGGCAAGGGACAGGAAAGAAGAGAGACCAAAAGAAGGGAGAAAATAAAATATATAGGTTAAAGAAGGGAGTGGCAAAGGAGCACAGTAGAGAAGGAAAGAGGAAAGTCTAGATTTCTCATTCAGGTGCTAATTATTATTATAGCTTTATTAGTGAGTTGCCTGGTGTTTATCTTAGACAAAGTTATAGAGAAATTCAATGATGTATTGGTTGGCCAAAAAGTTCGTTCGTGTTTTCCATGTTAAACCCGAACTAACTTTTTGGCCAACCCAATAATAAACGTCCTATAAGACACGTCAGCGTAGGACTCTCCCTGGATTTCCTTGTTTGCATCCAAACCACATGCCACTGTTTTGGCTGAATATGAAAAAATTACACACTGAATCATGCTTACTAAGATATGTTCCAAAACATCCACTGGTCTGCTAGAGCCAGCTTACTCCAGCTCATGAGAGCCAATTTTTAATTTTCAAGAATTTGGTGGACTTCCCTGGTAGTTAAGAATCCTCCTGCCAATGCAGCAGACACAGGTTCGAGCCCTGGTCCGGGAAGATCCCACATGCTGCAGAGCAACTAAGCCTGTGCGCCACAACTACTGAGCCCGCATGCCACAACTACTGACGCCCACTTGCCTAGAGCCCGTGCTCTGCAACAAGAGAAACCACCACAATGAGAAGCCTGTGCACCACAACAAAGAGTAGCCCCTGCTCGCCGCAACTAGAGAAAGCCCGTGCGCAGCAACGAAGACCCAACGCAGCCAAAAATAAATTAAAAATATAATAAATTAAAAAAAATTAAATTGTATATACTTGCAATTAAGTAAACTATATTAAAAACAAAAGTAATAAGTACTCAAAACCCATCACTTCCTAATTATTTTACTATATATTTACTATTATTATGCTCTTGAAGTTATTTACATCTGTAGTATCTGTATGGTGGAAATATACACAGTGGTA